ATTGCAATGACATACCACCTCACACTCATTAAGATGCCTACTATTAAAAAAAAAAAACACAGAAAACAAGTGTCAGTGAGGCTGTGGAGAAATTGAAACCCTTGTGCACTTTTGGTAAAATGTAAGATGGTACTGCCACTATGGAAAGTAACATGAAGATTCCTCAAAAATTTAAAAATAGAAATTACCATATGACCCAGTATTTCCACTTCTGGGTATATACCCCAAAGATTTGAAAGTAGGGTGTCAAAGAGATATTTGCACACCTGTTCATGGCAGCATTAATCACAATAGCCAAAATAGGAAAGCAACCCATCGACGGATGGACAAACAAAATATGGTATATACAGTTGACCCTTGAACAGTATGGGGGTGAGGGCATCAATCTACCATACAGTCAAAAATCACATATAATTTAAGGTGACCATCCACATATACCGATTCCCACCTGCTGATGGAATATACGGTTGATCCTTGAACAACATGGGTTTGAACTGCATGGGTTCACTTTATACACAGAATTTAAACCCATATTGTTCAAGGGTCAACTGTACACACAAAAGAATTATATTGTTCACAGTAAATAAAACATGAAAGTAAACCAAGTGTCCATCAACAGATGAATGGATAAACAAAATGTGGCTTATATCTGCACTGGTATGTGCCTAACACAGCACTGATATATGTGAGACAAAAACTGATAGAAATGCAAGGAAGAAGAGATGAATCCACTATTACAGTTTGAGACTTCATCACCCTTGTCACTATGGACAGTCACTAATGGACAGATCCCGCAGGCAGAAAGTCAGTAAGGCTATAGCTGAACTCCGCAGAACCATTAATTAAATAGAGATAATCAACATCTGTAGAACACTTCATTCAACAACATAAGAATACATATTCTTCTCAAGCTCACATGGAACATTCACCAAGATAAATGTTCATTTAAATCAATCATCTAAGCCTCCATTTTAGGAAACTAAAATTACAAGAGTAAATTAAATCAAAAGTAAAAAGAAGAAAAAGAAATAATAAAAACTGGAGCATACATCATCAATAAAATTGAAAATAATTGAGAAAATCAGTGAAATCAAAACTCTGGTTCTTAGAAATGATCACTGAAATCAATAAGCCTCTAGCCAGGCTAACTACAAGAAGAGAGAAGACAAAATCACTAACATCAAAAATAAAAAAGGGAAATCAATACAGATCCCATGGACATGAAGAGGATAATAAAAGAATACTATGAACACCTCTATGCCCACACATAGTCTAGATGAAATAGGCCAATTCCCTGAAAAACAAAATCTGCCAAAGCTCACACAAGATCCTACAGTCTGAATAGCCTTATATCTATTAAGGAAGTTGAATCAATAAAAAAAATAATCTTCCAAAATAGAAAGCACAAGACTCATATAAGTTCACTGGTGAATTCTACATACCGTGGAGTATTATTCAGTCTGAAAAAAGAAGGCAATCCTGACACATGCTACAACATGGATGAACCCTGAAGACACTATGCTAAGTGTCTTCATTAAACAAGCCAGCCACAAAAGGACAAATACAGTATGATTCCCTTTATATGAGGTAGACAAAGTAGAATGGTGGTTGCCAGGGGATGCAGAAAAAGGGGAACAGGGAGTTAATGTTTAATGGGTATAGAGTTTCAGTTTTACAAGATGAAAATATTCTGGAGATGGGTTGCACAATGATGTGACTATACTTAACACTACTGAACTGTACACTTGAAAATGTTAAAATAGTAAATTTTGAGTTACCTGTGTTTTGTCACAATAAAAAAAAAATGAAATAAAACACAGTGACACCAGGGGCAGAGCCATGCAGTTATAAGGATTACTCAGTCCTGGCCAGGTTGGAAGAGGCCCTTGAGGACCAACCACGCCCAACCCACACACCCTGCTTCCAGCCCGCAATGTGTCTGCTGAGACTCACAGCAACTGAAGCAAGCTGGAAGGACAGGCCTTTTTCTGTCTTTTTAGGGATCAGAAAGGTGAAGGGACATGCCCAGATCACTCCTGGTAAGGAGTAATGCTCCATTTTTCACACTGCAAAGCCAGCACTCTCCCAGATTCTCTAGCTGGCCCACCTGGCTTTGAATTCCAGCTCTGCCACCTACCACTGTGGGGCCTCAGGCAAATCACTCAGCCTCTATATGCCTCCCGAAAAATGGGGATAATAGCAGGTCTTGGGGGTCATTGTGTTTTCATTACACACAAAGTACTTAAAACAGCCTTGCATGTGGGAAGCCTGCCAATATAAGCTATTATATAGCGCCTCAGGAGTTGGTTTTTGTTTTTCCCTGAAGATCTATAAGGGACAAAGCTACTCCAAATGATTTAAAGGCACTGAAATTGATTTCATAAGAGCTTGCTGGCTCTGGGATCCCACACAACCCTGCACCAAACTTTGCAAGCCCAAGACAGGCGGGAGTGGCTCTGGCTGCTAAGTGCTTCCCAGTTCACTCCTTGACTTCTCACTCTTGTTCTTGAAGCCCTGAGGAGCGGAGCTGGGACCACAAGCCCAGGAAGCAGTATGTTGCTGCAGAGTGGCCCACACTGGTCTCACCAGTCCTGTACATTCTGACTGTCACAGCTGAGCTGACGGCAGCCAGGGACACGGCTTCTCCAATGCACTGGGGAGGACCGCCAGGACCAGACAGACAATGGCAAGCAGGCATGTCTCTGCTGACCCCAGGTAGCAGCAGAGCTGAGCCCAAGTCCACCTGTGTCAGTGATCCAGGGCACTGGGTTGGTAGCAGGAGAAGCCAACTGCCACACAGGACTCACTGAGCCTGGAGAGGACCCAGCAAGGTCATAGCGGCAGTGCTCCCTGCCCATAGCTCCGGGAGCTGGGCAGCTTTTCTGGCCAGAGTTATCTAGATGGCATCTCTGCACCAAGTGCCCCACAACACGATTCTCTGCAGATGAGATAAAGATGGCTGCTCCAGGAAGGCAGCACCAGGGTTTCTCCTGAGGCTGGAACTGCCTGCACCTCAGACAACCAAGTGCCTGTCTACCCACTGACGAGAACAACCACGCCCAGATGTCCCTTACAGTCATTGCTGGAGCTGTGCATCTCCCTGCAGGAAAGGTCGGGGTGCAAGCCTGCATGTGCCCCATTACTGTGGGGTCCTGGCCTTGCTGGAGAACTTAGAGGAGCCTAGAGTGAGAAGAGGAGTCCTCTCTGCTTTCGCCCTAGCTGGCTCTAGAATCAGCTGTGACACCTGCTTTGATGTGGCCAGAGAGAGAACTGTGATTTGCTTGTCAGGGTTAGGACACATCACAAATGTCAAAGTTGGAAGGCTCCAAAGACCTTCCTGTGCCCAAGCCTCCCTGTGAGCAAAGAGGACACCAGAGATCACAGCCGGAGAAGGCTTGGTGATAGTCAACAGATGGCCCCATTTGAATTCCAGGGGAGCTCAAGTCCTAGAACTCCCGGGACCCCTGCAAGCAGGTGAGCTCGGCCTGCCTTCCGACAGCTCTTTGCCTTCTCCTCATACCAGCTCAAAATGGCAGTGAAGAGGCTCCTCAGGAGACAGAGCCCATTCCTGGGAAGGGGACTGGAAAGGCACTCTCCAGGGGCAACAGCACATGCCTCCCTCCCAAGAGTTATTAGCAACATCATCCTCTCCCCAGCACACCCCAAGATAACCCTTCAGCAGGCAGCGACCCCAGTGTGAGGACCCTGACAGCTCACCTTGGACGGGGTGAGAGATCAGGCACCTGGGCCTCTCACTCCAGGCCCTCTGATTCTGCATCCAGACTCTTTTCTTTTTAAATTGTGGTAAAATATACAAATAAAACTTACCATTCTAAACATTTTTAGACACATTCACTGTATTATCTATCTCTACAACTTTTTCATCTTCCCAAACTAAAACTCCATACTCATTAACAACTCCCCCTTCCCCCTGCCCCGCAGCCCCTGGCACCCAGCAGTCTACTTTCTGTCTCTACAAACCTGACTTCTCTAATTATTTCATGTAAGTGGAATCATATAGTATTTGTTCTTCTGTGACTGGCTCAATGCCCTCAATGTTGTAGCATGTGTCAGAATTTTCTTTCCTTTTAAAAATGAATAATATTCCATTGTATGGATAGACCACATTTTGCTTATCTATTCGTCTGTCGATAGACACTTGGTTTGTTTCTACCTCTTGGCTATAGTGAATAAAGCTGCTGTGGACATGGGTGTACAACTACCTCTTTGAGTCTCTGCTTTCACTTCTTTTGCATGTATACCCAGAGGTGGAATTGCTGTATATCCAAGACTCTTTCTGGCCAGCAATTTCACCCCCAAAGAGTCAACACCCCAAACCACTGGCAATAGACTCTGACCACAGTTATCCTTTGTCCCTCCCCTTCCTCCAGGCACACTCCCAGACAAATGTGGGAGCTTTCCAGGTCCTCTGAAATCATGTACAAGCTGTGCCCGGCAAGCTTCCCCGACCCCTCGGGGTAGGTCTGCTATCTCCTAGGGCAGTGGGCAGTGGGGAAGCACCGCCCTAGGGGTCAGGAGCCCTGAGTACCCACCAGGTTTGTTGTGATGGGTCCCCACTTCCTTCTCCTCTCTGAGCCCTGCTCCCCAAGGGTAAAAGAATCATTGGAGTGGGTGCCCTCTGAAGCCCTGCCAGCACTGCATTTCTATGATTCTGAGCAGCAACAAAAATGCACCTCACCTGGAGAACCATGAACAAACCCTAACGGACAGACTAGTGGCAGTGGGGGACAGGCAGAAGGTGCTGCCAGCTGCAGCCTTGCGCAGCCAGAATCCCTGGGCCTGGCCCATGCGCCCAGCCTCAGACCTCTAGCCCAGACAGTTGGAACCTTGCCCTTGGATGTGGTGGGCTTGAAGCTCCCCTCCCTGACCCTTCCCCAGTTAGGGCCCTGGGCAGTACCGGGGTCCATTTCTCCCAGGTAGAGCTCAGAAGCCACCTCATGGAGGCAGCTGTGGTTGAGCCTAGACCAGGGAATCCATACCTTCAAGGTCTGCTCATTCCGGTGTATGAGATAGGCCAAGATGGCTGCGCAGCTCCGACTGATGCCCAGAGTAGAAAATACCAGGATGACAGAGCCAATCTGGAGGTGGACTTCTGTAAGAGGAAGGAAGGGTTGAGTGGGTGGGTTGGGTGCTGTATGTGTTCTCTTCCTTATGGACTCAATTTCTATGAGACAATTGGTCTCAGTGGGTCCAAGAGTGGGTTCAAAACCAGCACACCATGTCCTAGGCAAATCACGTGACATCTCTAGGACACTATTGAGTCACCTGGCAAATGGGGATTCTTGGACCTAGCTGGCAGCTCAAATATCACACCTGTGCATTCAGCATTATCATGCAAAGGCCTTTTCTTCACTCCCTAGGCTTTCAGATCAGGAAGGTCTGCTACCATTTGGCCTCCCAGGGTGGGGAAGAGAGGATCACACCAATGCTGACAGAGGCAGCACAGCCTGGGTCAAAATCCTGGCTCTGCCACTCACTGGTTGTGCCACAGTTTCCTCCTCTGAAAAATGGGATAACAGTATACTGTCTGCCTTGTAAGGTCTTGTGCTCTGCTTAGCCCAGAGCCTGGCACAGAAACCTTAGCTATAATCATAACTAAAAATGACGCTGAGTCTGTGTGTGAGTCTTGCCCAGTGAGGGGTAGGGAGGAAAGCTAAGCTGGCATTCTAGGCTGGTTTGGCAACCCCCAAGAACTGAAGGCAACCATTCCAAATGCAAAATCACAGACTGTCAGTGCTGGAGTGGGACTCAGAGATGATTGAGGCTAACTGACTCATCACAGGATAAGGAAACTAAAGTACCAAGCAGCTTAGGACTGGCCCAGAGCCACCCAGTGAGGTGAGGCTGGAGAGGGGGCCTCTTTGTGCCATAGAACTCTGCCATCCCATGGTGGGATATGAGGCAAGTCTCAGTCTCAGCTCCTAGTCAAGTGTTCGTTGCAACGTCCTAGGCAAACAGATGTTTGAGCCAAATGCCATTCTCTGGCCCCTTGTGCAGTGACTCAGGCTGGAGGCTGCCAAGTAGGCAGTCCTGGGGTGGGGTCTCTGACCAGACTCAATCTCACTCACTTCAGGCATCTTACTCAACTTGGACAATCCTGAGCCCTAGGAATGACTGAAAAGTCCATCTTCAGTGAGGTAAGCCACTGTTGGGCACTGCTGTGTGTGGTGGGACAACAGAGGGGCATTTGGTATACACACTGGAAATCGGAGAAGTCAAAAGCTCCGGAGTCTTCCTCCCACCCTACTTCACTGACCAGACGAAGGTGCAGGAACAGAGTGAGGTTCACCTCTGAGTCACCAGAGCACAGCCCAGAGCAGGCCTCCATGAACATGTATACAGATGATGGGCCAACACCCTCATTTCATGACAGGCCAACTGGGGCAGTGAGGCCAGGCCCAAAAGGGCCTACCAGTCTGGCCAAGGCCAGAACATAGGTCTTGATCCAGTCTGGCGTTCTTATTTGGCCCCACTGTCCAGGAAGTAAAAGTGTGGCTGCCCATATTGCTGAGAGCCCCAGAGAGGCAGGTTTGTCCTGGGGCTTGTCCACACCTGGCTGGGAATGTGCTGTCCTTTCTCTCCCAAGCACTGAGCCACAATCAGGAATAGGCATGTGGATGAAGAGCCATAGCTCTTTGCCCTCAGGGCATAGGCCAGCTGCTGCCGGGTTAGAGAATGCTCCTTACCAATGAAGTGACAGAGATGACGCAAAAAGGGGAAAATGTTGGCTTCCAGGGTGTCCTCTATTGGGATATGCAGAAGTTTGTCAGAGTCGCCTACAAAACTAAACAGAGAAAAAGCACAGGTAATGGGGCAGACTCACATAGTCCCCACTGCAGCATCCCTCATCCATAGCAACAGGACCACCGGGGAGGGATGCTGAGCTAAGACCTGAACCCCTCTCAGGGGAAAAGCACCTACCTTATGCGGTGGGGTATGGATTAAATCAATTAATCTACATAAAGCATTTAGCAATCTGGCACACAGTGCTCAGTAAATATAGCATTATTATGGTTAACTGAACATGGTACTTTCCTAGAATGGTACAAATAATAAAATTTGGGAGGAAATATGTCATGACTTTGGAAAATGAGTCTGCTATGTTAAATGGAGAAAATAAGGTCAGAGGGATGGAAAATGGTGGGGTTGCTGTTTTAAATAGTGTAATCATGGAAGGCTTTACTGAGGAGGTAACATTTGAGCAGAGCTTAAAGGAGGACAGGGAACAAGCCAGGCAGTTATCTGAGGAAAGAGCTGGGGAGAGTTTCACAATGGAAGAGGCATCTGGATAGAGAAGGTTGATACATGGTTAATATATAAAAATCAGTTGGATTTCTACATACTAGCAACAAATAATCAGAAATTGAAAATTTTTAAATATCACTTATAATCACATAAAAACATTAAATGCTTAGGAAGAAATCTGACACAAAAGAGAGAAGTAAATGGAAAGACAGACTATGCTCATGGACCAAGAAATTCAACATTAAGATGTCAGTTCAATCCCAATTAAAATTCCAGCAAACTTCTTCATAGAAACTAACAACTGATTATAAAATTGATATGGAGTGCTGGCTGGTGCTCAATCCACTGAGTCGCCAGTTCGATTCCCAGTCAAGGTACATGCTTGGGTGGTGGGCCAGGTCCCCAGTTTAGAGAGTGTGAGAGGCAACCACACATTGATGTTTCTCTCCCTCTCTTTCTCCCTCCCTTTCCATCTCTCTAAAAATAAATAAACAAAATCTTTTTAAGTAAATAAATAAAATTGATATGAAATGCAAAGAAAACAACTTTGAAAAAGAAGAATAAGATTACAGGACTAACACTACCTGACTTCAAGACTTATTATAAAGCTACAGTAATCAATCAATAGTGTGGAATTGGCATAGGGAAAAACATGTATCAATAAAAAAATAAAGAATCCAGATACAATTTCACACACTTGAATTTTGACAAGGATTTTCAACAAAGGTAGCAAAGCAATTTGAATGAAAAGGGATCAGATTTTCAACAAATGATTATCTCCACATGCAATTCCCAGTCAGGGCACATGCCTGGGCTACAGGCTGGGCCCCAAGTGGGGGTATGCAACCGATCATTGTATTTCTTGCACATCAATGTTTCTCTTCCTCACCTTCTCCCTCCCTCTCCCTCTCTCTAAAAATAAATAAATAAATAAATAAGTAAAATCTTTTAAAAAATAGTATTGCTACTTACAATGGCCCTGTCTCCATGGAGACATTGACATGTGCTTTGATTTTCAAATCCTTCTGAATTTTAGGGTCACAGGCTTGCCTGAAATCACCCAGGTAGATCTGGCCTGGCACTATTTCAACAGGGTATGGCTGAAATTCATCCAGCTCCTGAGGTGGAAGAGGAGAAAGGCTGTTATAAATATTCCTCAGGGAAGAAGTCATTTTCATTTGGGGATGAGGGACAGGACTAGTTTCTTGAAATGTGGTTCAACAAACAAGCTTTGAAAGGTAATCCAGGACAGTGCATGAAATTAAGATTTGGGCGTTCGAAGAGATTGGCAAGTAATAACTTGCACAAGGAGTTACAGGGCTGGTGGTAACAAAAGGACTGAACCCTAGCCCTAGCATAACACCATGGTACAGCGTGATGACTCTGGACACCAACATCCTACCTGCCTCCATGGTACCTGTTTGTATTTGACCGTGGAGTCTAAAACTTGGAGTCTAATATCCTGTGGCCAACAACTGCTTAAACCCAGGGTGTGTCCAGCTAGGGGAGGACAAGTAAGGAGAAGAACAGCCCTTTAATTACACTCAGAAGCCACCAGAATTTAAATATATTAAAAAAAAAAATGAAACAACTCACAAGAACCTATTTGTCATTAGCAAATGAATTCTGATGAAGCTCTGATGAGTTCTTAAGATGGTAGGGAGAATAGGCCACCACTTAAATGGAAGCTTACTAAATTCCAGGCCCAAAGCTACATTTCCCAAAGTGTGTTCGAAGAAACATGGGCCCCTCACAATTCACTGTGAAAAAAAGGTTCAGAGAACTATGTACATGTTGGAAACAGTACCTCTGATATCCCTCTCTCAGAAACTCACCATTTACATTAGCATTGAAAAACTCAAAGAAGTCCAGCAGTAGAGAAATCCACTAACTGCCCTGGCTGGTGTGGCTTGAGTAGATTGAGGGCCGGCCTGTGAACCAAAGGGTGGCTGATTCGATTCCCAGTCAGGGCTCATACCTGGGTTATGGGCCAGGTCCCCAGTGGGGGGCATGTGACAGACAACCACACACTGATGCTTCTCTCTCTCTCTTTCTCCCCCCCCTTTTTCTGAAAATAACTAAATAAAATATTTTTTAAAAATCTTTCAAGAAATTGCCCCGGCTCAGGTAGCTCAGTGGATTGAGCGCGGGCTGCGAACGAGGCATCGCAGGTTCGATTCCCAGCCAGGGCACATGCCTGGGTTGCAGGCCATGGTCCCCAGCAACCACACATTGATATTTCTCTATTTCTCTCTTTCTCTTTCTCTCTCTCTCTCTCTCTCTCTCTCTCTCTCTCTCGCTCTCTCTCTCTCTCTCTCTCTCCCCCTTCCCTCTCTAAAAATAAATAAATAAATAAAATCTTTTTAAAAAATCTTTCAAGAAACTGCTAACTACAGCCACTGTGGAAAATAGCATGGAGGTTCCTATAAAATTAAAATGGAACTACCATACGATCCAGTAATCCCACTTCTGAGTGTATATCCAACACAAACAAAACCACTATCCCAAAGAGATATCTGCACTCCCATGCTCACTGGAGCATTATTCACAATAACCAAAACATAGAAACAACCCAAGTGTCCATCAGTGGGTAAAGAAAATATGCCATACATATACAAGGGAATATTATCCAGCCATGAAAATGTAAGAAATTCTGTCATTTAAAACAGAGATGGCCCTTGAGGGCATTATGCTAAGCAGAATAAGTCAGACAGAAAAACAAATGGTCTTACTTATATGTGGATATTAACAGTGCCATATTCATAGAACAGAGAGCAGAGTGGTGGCTGCCAGGGGCTGGGCAGGGAGGGAGAACAGGGAGGTGCTGGCCAAAGGGTGAGAACTTCCAGATATAAGGAGAGGAAGTCCTGGGGGTCCATATTACAGCATGGTGACTGCAGTTAACGACACTGTGTTATATTCTTGCATACTGCTAAGAGAGTAGATGTTCTCACCACATGCATAAAAAAGATAGTTTTGGGAGGAGGTGGATGTGTTAAACTTATTATGGTAGTCATTTCACTATATATATATATAAAATCATCATGTTGTATACCTTAAACTTATGATGTATCAATTCCATATCAATAAACCTGGGGGGGGGATTATAAAATGTGATTGTTCCAAGGAAAGATTTTTAGAGCACCAATTATGTGATTAGGGAAAAAAACCATCATCAAATAATAAAACTAATTTTATAAACAAGTTGGAAAACAGCCAGAAAGGCATGCCAGTCTAAGATTGTTGTCAAAATGTGTCTCCAGAGAACAGAGAGCTGGTAAAAAGTTTTCTAATGGCTCCTTGGGCTGACCTCTTATTACTCAGATGTTTGTAATAAAACAGTGGCTACATACTTATTCTTGGCATGAATAAAACCTAAACAAAACCTTGAAAAAAGAAAAAGGAAGAAAACAGAGCCCTGCCTGGTGTGCCTCCCCCATTGGTGGGTGGCACCCCCCCCCCAAAGTGAAAGGGCACCAGTTCGATCCCTGTCCAGGCACACCCCAGTCGCAGGTTTGATCCCCAGTGGGGCACATACAGGAGGCAACCAATCGGTGTTTGATCAATGTTCTCTCTTACACTGATGTTTCTCTCCCTGTCTCCCTCCCTCCCTTCCCCTCTTTCTAAAAATAAATAAATGAAATCTTTTGTTAGAAAAGAGTTTCACCAGCACTGTATAAACCGACATTTCTAATATCTGTGAGGTCATCATATTTTTCCATCAGTATTCCATGGAAAAGGCTGACCTAGGTAACTTCAAAGGTCAAACTCTAAAAGCTCTAAAAACTGCTCTGGCTCTAAGTCTGACTCAGAAATAGCATCTTAAGTATCTCAGGCACTTCACTGCCCACTTCAGGACTTTGGACCCTTCTGGCCTCAGCACATGTCCCTTTTCAGTGAACCCACTGCAAGCCAACATCCTTCCCACACTGTCAGCCTCAAAAACCTGCATCAAAGAACAGATACCAGGCAGAGCAAATCCTCAAGTTGTGAGAGATTCACCACCCTTTTGCCTGCAGTTAGACCTGCTGTTTGCAGATGTGTTCCCAGGGCTTGGACTGATCTCACCCAGGACACTCAGCTTGCTGGAGACAAACAAAATCCTCCTAGTTCCATTTGGAAAAATCTCACTAAATGCCTATCACAAATCTATCAACTCTCTTTCTGATGCTTTCAAACCAGCTTCCTTTCCTGTGCTCATGCAGGCTGCAGGGGAAGAGGGTGTAGCATGGGTAAAAGTATACCGCAATGTAAAGAGCAAGCGCATGCTAATTCTAGATGACACAGTTTTGACTGCCACATCAACCAATGCAAAAGAAACAGGTATCTGGCCCTGGCCATTATGGCTCAGTTGGTTGGAGTGCGGTCCATAGACGGAAAGGTCACGGGTTCGATCCCTAGTGAGGGTGCATACAAGAAAGCAACTAATCCATGTGTCTCTCTCACATCGACGTCTGTCTGTCTGTCTCTCTCTCCCTCTCTCTTCCATTCCCCTCTCTCTAAAAGCAATGGAAAATGTCCCCAGGTAAGGATGAAATAAGTAAATAAATGAAATGAAAATTAAAAACAGTAATTAATCTTCTTTAAATTAAAAAGAAACAGGTATCTGAAACTAACATGCCCAAACTGAGCCCACTGCCTTCCCCTCATGCTGCCCCCTCCTCCTGTGTCCACCACCTCAAAGAGCCACACCAGAGGCCACCTGTCACCCACACCTGAACCAGGGCATTATTCTAGACTCCTCTCTCTCCGTCACCCCCCATATTAACCAATGCATCCCTACCTCCCAGCAGGTCTCCCCAGATCCACTCTGTCCCCACTGCCCTGCTCTCTGCACTGCGATCAGAGGTCATCTAAGTGTACCCTGGCCATGCCACCCCTCAAGGTAAAACTACTGCGTGTCTCATCATCATCTCCCTCCAGTACGGCCTTCACACTTCTTTTAGTCACAAAACCCCTTTGCTCAAGATGAAATCTCATTTAACAGATGCCACATGTAAAGCAGGAAACTACAAGTCACTCTGTCTGAGGTAGGGGGCAATCTCAGAGCCCAGATTTGTGCCTCCATCTCCACTCACACAAGGAGCTCCTTGGGGAGCAGTAAGGACACACCTGCTTCACAATGTATCAGAACGGTAACAGGAAGGGAGTGGAGTTTTCAGTCTTGCTCCTGAATTAGTAACAGAGCAGGGAGAGGCAGATAGTAGGCACCTACATTTTAGAGAAGACCACAAATGACTAGGATAGCACTCCTGATCAGGCAGGCCCTTATACTACCACCCCACGCCTCTGAGGGCAAGACACAGGTATAGATACATGTCAAAACTTACCAGATTGTACATTTTAAATATGTGCAGTTATTCCCCTTGTCTGTGACCTTCTCTTTCTCCTGCTCTGCTCCCCACCCTGTGGCCCTCAAGGGAAGGCCATGCTCCCATCTGAGCCTGCTGTGCTCAGCACTGGATGCCTTACCTGGGGCATCCAAATAATCTTCTGTGTCCGGAAGAAGTGGTATATGGCCGAGAAGCTCTCATATCCCCCTCTCAGGATACGGATGGGGTGGTGGGTGAGGTGGGCCAAGGCTCTACCACATTCAATGGCAGCTCCGAGAACCAGTCCTAAAAGTGGAGACCAAAGAAATGAATGTTTCCTGCAGGTTCATCACTTGTTGAAAGCTCCAATGAATGGCCACTTTATTCTGAAAAGCAATCCTCTAGGAAGCTGAAGCAAGTATAAATGGAGATGGGTGTTACAATTAAAATTTAAAAGCAACATACCACCAAGTAGGTTAATCTTTGTTTTTCTGTAAACATATATATAGTATCATATATGCTGCATACTGTATACTGTAAATTCACCTATTTGTCCATAGCACAGCCAGTGTGCCAGACAGCCGCTCCCCTGCCAGTGTCATGCACAGGGGCGATGGGGTCAGAGATGGAGGGAGGCCAGTTTCCAGGACACAAGTAGAGACTTACTTAGACGAAAAGCCATGAGAACATCCCAGTTACCCAAATAACCCAAGATATCCAGCCAAGGATGTAATGGGGCTAATGTTTCTGAAACATTAAATTCACTCATTTCTATTCCTATTAATCCCAGGTTCTATGTTGACATTACTTTTCTCACCCCTTGAACTGGGGTGCCCACCGCTTCAGAGGAAGGGGGTGACCACCCAGTACAAGGGAGTCACCACTCAGTCTGAGCTTTAAGTTAAATTATTTGAGGTCCTTAGCCAAACAATTGTCTTGAAAGTTAGGCTTTGTTGAGGAAGGAGAAAAGGAATCCCAAAATTCCCAAGGCTTCCCTTCACCATTGGTATAGATGTCCAGGCCCAGGAAACTCCACCCACATATATCATGAGCCCACTGTGAGGGTCTATGACCCACACATTGCCAGGAAGGATGCTTTAACATGAGGGAAATGCTGCTCATACAAGAAGGGGCTGCCCTTTGCATGCTAAAAGAAGCCTGGAGAGAGCGTCCCAGAAGCCAAGACAAGGGAACATACTTCCTAGGCTCCTAAGAAGACACTCAACTAAGCGGGTAGAACATCCTGGCTGGTGGGCGGGTTGTGTGCTAAAACGGCTTTTGTCCCATTCCCCACTAGGATTCTGGGACCGCCACAGCAGAGGTGGGGTGGGGAGTAGTTAATCTAACACTAGAAGCTGCAGCAGGCCCAGGGATCAGGAGCACGTGTGGAGGGTCAGGGGGAGCCTGGGTAGGGAGGCGCAAGGCTGAGGCCCCCAGGAGCCCACACCATGCACGGCCAAGGTGGAGGGACCCACTCACAGCTTACACTAGACATGGACATTTTGGCCACAGCACAGCCCACGGCCAAAGGCCCCATAGGCTGAGCTGCACCTTATCCAGAGGCGAGCAGAAAAGGACTAAACAGAGACCAACACCTACTTCTAGGATGTGATGAAGGTTCCCCCTGCCCCAATGCCCAGATTTCCTTAGGGGTCAGGGAGGTGGGTGCTTAACAGTGGAGAGGCAGAGGGGGTGGTGAGAGAAACCTTGAAATGGTATTTTACCCAAAAGACTGCATTTACCTGAACAATATCCACTTTAAAGAAGAAAAGTTGCCTTAAATGGGCAAGCTGTGCACATGTGTAGTTTTGGTTTTTGTTGTTTTGCTGTTGTTTTGTGATAGTGGTTTCCTACCCAGTGAGAACAAGCACTCCATAGCAGTGAGGTCACTTAGAGAATTGAGAGGGGGTTCCTTTTATTGATCACTGTTCCCTAGGGTTTCAGAGTCCAGCCTACAATCCCAGGATTGCCAACCAGAACCCAGCAAGACAAGCTTGGGGAAGAAGGGATAGTTTCCTAAGGCCCTCCGGGGAAGACTGGTTTTATCAAAGGTGGAAGCCTAGTGCCACCCCGTGACCATCAGTGTGAATGCCCCAGCCCACAGAACCACCCACACATGTTAGTGACTGAGCCACAAACACCAGAGCCTCGTGCCAATGGCCAGGGGTGGTCAGCCCAGAGCAGAGGCTGAATGGAAACTGCTGTGGAGCATCATGAAACCAGATTACAACCAACCATGTTTTAATCCTCCAGCTCAGGGCTGAAGTGACTTTGCCCAGTTCTCCAACATTACTACCCAGGCCTTAGAAGACTGGACAGAGCCAGACTGCCCGGGTTTGAATCCTGGCCCCAGCACTTAGTTAAAAAAAAAAAAGTCTACAATTCTTTCAAATACCTCTCTTTAAAAGGTTGAGTCTAATTCCCCTCCCCATAAGGGTAGATTGTAGTCAGTGACCTTATAATGAATAGAATGTGGTGGAAATGACTATGTATAGGCCCCAAGACTGACTTTCCCTTTCTCTCTCTCTGATCACTCACAGGAAGGGGTGGGGGGTTGCGGGGAGCTGGTGCAGGGACTGGCTGCCATGTCATGAAGCCCTGCAAGCAGTCCTAGGGAGAGGTCTATGTGACTAGGAACTGAGGTCTCCTGCCAACAGCCAGAATGAAACTGAGGCCTCCTGGACACAGCCATGTGAGTGAATCATCTCAGAAGCAGATCATCCTGGCCCAGTCCCACCTTCCAATGACAACAGCCCTGACTGACATCTTGACTACAACCTGAGGAGAGACGCTGTACCAGAACCTCCCAACTAAGTCACTCCTGAATTCTGGACCCACAGAAACTATGAGATAATTAATGTTTATTATATCAAGGTACTGAGTTTGGAGGTAATTTTCTATATGGCAATAGATAACTAATCTACTAGGTATAAGATCTTGGGCAAGTTACTTTGCCTTTCTGGGCCCTAATTTCTCCTTGTATAAAATGGGAATGTTACCTATTAGGAGACAATTCTCCATGGTCTCTCGTACCCCTATGTGTCCTTTATTTATTTTTTAAATTTTATTGTATTTTTTCTCTTATCATTTATCCCCCTTACACCCTCTTCCACCTCTGCCCCCTCTCCCACACCCCCCCCGTCTCCACACTGTTGACTATGTCCGTGAGTCCTCCTCTTTTTTGCTCTATCCTTCCACCCCTAACCCTCCACCCCAGAACAATCAGCCTGCTCTCTATCTGAGTCTGTTTTGCTGGTTAATTCATTTGCTGCTGTGCTTGGGTCTTTTTTTCTACCTTGTCATCCAAATCGCTGATTTGATCCTCTGCTTCATCTAACCTACTGTTAACTCCTTCCAGTGTATTATTTCTTTCAGATATTGCATTATTTATTTCTGATTGGTCCTTTCTTATGGTTTCTGTGTCTTTTTTCATGCTGTTGGGCATCCTCATAATCACTTCTCTAATCTCTCTATCTGATAAATTGCTTACCTCCATTTCACTTAGTTCTTCTGGAGAATTCTCTTGTTCTTTCATTTGGGGCCTGTTTCTTTGTCTTCCCATTTTGGCTGCCTCTTTGTCTTTGTATGTATTAGGTAGATCTGCACAGACTCTGGTGCAGACCTATGCCAGATGCTGCCTGTGACTGGCCCTGGGCAACCAGTTTGGAGCTATCAGCGATCCACAGCTTGTGGCTTGCTCTGCTGGGCCTGGGTGTGTGCATAAAGAACCGGGATGTGCACCAAGGCCAGCGCTTACCAGTAGCAGGCCTGGGGAGTGTCAGTTAAAGCCTCAATGCTCCCAGAAATCCACCTTTTCTGTTAGACTTAAACACTGAGATAGCTTCAAGCTGTACTCAGCAGCCAAGTTCCAAAGGGGGGAGCAAAAGGGATCCCTGTGGGTGAAGCTGTTGCTTCTCCTTAGGCCAATGCCACTTGGAGAGGAGTGCTCTGCCTGAGAAAGATGGATTCTGCTATATGGGGAATGTCTCAGCACAGGTGGCTGCTTCTTCATCTCTCTCCTCAGAGCCACCAACCCCAGACTCTCCTCGCATGTCTCTAACCCACTCTGCCCTCCCTCTGCCACAGCCCAGGATGAGTGGCTGCAAATTAAGTTTTGTGTTGACCCTTGAAGAGGCTCTCTGTGTCTCCAGCCATCTCTCCCTGGCAGAGAGAAACCCCACTGCTTTTCACAGCTGGATGTTATTTGTGTTCCTTCCCCCGTTCTAGTGCTTTAGGTTGGGGGGCCCAGCTTGAGGTTCAGACCCCACACTCCTCAGGGGGAACTCCCCCTCAGCCACTGAAATATCCCTCCAGAACTTCACCTGTCACCCATGGGAGCCCAGCCAGCCCTCTCGTGCCTCTGCACTTCCTACTAGTCTCAGTGGAGTGATATGGTTTCTTCAGTAAGTCCTTTGTTATAAGGCTTCTCTCCAGCTAGTGTTCAGCTGGTTTTTCAGGATGACTTTTCTATAATTTAGTCAAAACTCCAGTCTGGTCCTGGGAGGAGGTTAGTGTAGTTTCTACTACTCTGCCACCATCCTGGATCTCTCCACATGTTCTTTAAATGAGGCTCTGGCTTTTCAAAGATATTTGTGTAACCAACAGCTTTGGAAGACAGAGACAGTTTTTTCCTCCAGAGCCAAAGATGGGCAGGCTTTCTGCCCATTATATAAGATTCAGGCCGCCTAAGCTCAGAGTTCTTCTCCTACAATACAATGCACTACATGGGTAGGTGTACTGAACCTCTTCATGTCACCCTGTGAGAACCGTGGTGTGGGGCTCCAGTGTAGGAAAATGATGACATTCTGGTTACTTTTATTGCTTTGAGTAATAGAGTCCTTTGTCTCCAACCCAAGAGCCTCATCAAGGAGCCTTCAGCCACACCTCTGAAATGGTGGTAGGATCACTTGCCATCTTGCAAGGAAGGAAAAATCTCAGACCCTTCCTAGTTCTTCATATTGCCATCCTCATAGAGATGTTCTGCAGACTGTATGAGTTAACCCAGGTAGGGCACAGGGCATGGTTCCTGGCATGTGGCAAAAATGTTCAATAACTGTTAACTATTATTCTTACAGCTAGTATAAAAACCTACCTTCTCGAAGATGGAGGAATAGGTGGACACACTGTACCTCCTCGCACAAACAAGATTAGAACAACAATAATTTACATACAGAATAACACTCAGAACTGATAGAGGATTTATCTGAATGGAAGTTGGACAGCCAAGAAGTTGAAGTAGACCCATGCATCCAGACTGGTAGGAGACGACGAGCCGGGCGGGCGCGGGTCAGCGGCGCGCAGAGGTCAGGGAAAATTTGGCGCGAAATCGGCACGACAGACATCCGGGGTGCAAGAACACAGCAGTGATCCCTGGGTCCGCATCCCTGCGGCTGGCGGACCCAGTGAGGCAGCGATTGTGGACCAGGGCGGAGCTCGCGGCCCAGGATCCCAGAGAAGGGTCTGAGCCCAGGAGAACGGAACTGCCACCATTGTTCCCTCCCGTCCCCGCTCCCGCGCCCACATATAACGTCACAATCTAGCGACTGGGGTGCCCAGCCCCAGTGAACACCTAAGGCTCCACCCCCCACCATAACAAGAGCGACCAGACCGGAAAAAAAAAAAAAAAGGAGAGACAGGGAAAGACATAAGACATGTTTCCAACAGAACAGATCAGTCCCCCAGGACTCATCCTTTTGAGCGACCAAGAAATAGCCGATTTATCAGATGCACAGTTCAAAACACTGGTGATCAGAAAGCTCACGGAATTGGTTGATTTTGGGCGCAATTTAGATGAAAGGATGCAGGTTACCATAAAAGAGATGCAGGAAGACACGCGGAGGAGAGCCAATAGTGAAAGGAAGGAATCTGAGTCTCAAAACAATACAGTGGACCAGAAGGAAGATAGAATCAACCAAGCAGGAAAGCATGATGAAATAAGAATTCAAAAAATAGAGGGAAAGCTTAAGAGCATCCAGGACACCTTTAAACATTCCAACATCCGAATTATAGGGGTACCAGAATGGGAAGGGGAAAAGCAACAGATGGAGCACGTATTTGAACAAATAATAAAGGAGAACTTCCCCAATGTGCCAAAGGGAACAGTCTTCCAAGAAATCCAAGAAGCTCAGAGAGCCCCAAAGAAGTTGGACCCAAGAAGAAACACACCAAGGCACATCATAATGACATTAGCCAAGGTAAAAATGAAGGAGAGAATCCTAGAAGCAGCAAGAGATAAGGGGACAGTAACCTACAAAGGAGTTCCCATCAGACTGTCAGCTGATTTCTCCAAAGAGACCTTACAGGCAAGAAGGGGCTGGAAAGAAATATTCCAAGTCATGAAAGACAAGGACCTACATCCCAGATTGCTCTATCCAGCAAAGCTCTCATTTAGAATGGAAGGGAAGATAAAGTGCTTTTCAGATAAGGTCAAGTTAAAGGAGTTCATCATCACCAAGCCCTTATTTTATGAAATGCTAAAGGGACTTATCTAAGAAAAGAAGATAAAGAAAAGACATGTATAGTAAAAGGACAGCAAACTCACAATTATTAACAACCACACCTAAAGCAAAACCAAAAGAAACTAAGTAAACAACTAGAACAGGAACAGAACCACAGAAATGGAGGGCACATGGAGGGCTAGCAGCAGGGGGGGGGGTGGGAGGAGGAGAGGGGGGAAAAGGTACAGAGAATAAGTAGCATAGAATGTAGGTTGAAAATAGATAGGGGGAGGGCAAGAATAGTATGGGAAATGTAGAAGCTAAAGAACTCATAAGCATGACACATGGACATGAACTAAAGGGGGGGAACGTGGGTGGGAGAGGGGGTACAGGGTGGAGGGGAGAGAAGGGGGGAAATGGGACAACTGTAATAGCATAATCAATTAAATATATTTTTTAAAAAAACCCACCTTCTCCAATATTGTCAGAGCACTCATCATTGTCATCATCATCATGTTTTAGGAGTACATCCAGGGAGCTGGTTCCGTGATCATACACTACACAGTAGTTTACACACTCCAGATCCACAGACTCCGGGATAAGATATTCATTTGCCTTCTAAAGAAAACACAAGAGAAGCCTGTTGGCAGATAGGTTCAGCTGAGCAAATATTCCCTGCACACCAGCACTGTGAGGAACTGAAGGTAGGACTCTGCCTGTTTTCCTGACTACACATGTGCACTGAAGCGCTGAGAGTTGACCAGAGACTCTACCAAATTCCAAGGGTCTTCCATACCCACTCCCCCTAATGTGAAAAGCTGACCACAGCCAACTGGATCAGAAATAAGTGCATGACAAAAGAATAGCTAGCCTACTGACCCGCCAACTGAACTAAGACATCCTCTCTCTGGGAGTAAGTGGTTGCCTATAGGGGCCAAAGCCAAAATCCCCCATAAGAGGGCAGTAAGCAGAAGACTTGAATGAGAAGAAGTCATAAGTAAACAGATAAAATTAGGCCAACTGTAAGCTCAAATGTAAGCCCTGTGAGAGCGGGAACATTTGTCCTTTTATAGTCACTGATGTATCCTGAACTTCTAGAACACTGCCTGGCACATTAAATCATAAATATGGTTACAGGAAGGAACAGGCAAACAGCTCCATGAGATCGTGAAGATTGTTCAGTCACCATCATGATGGACTGCAGGGGCAGGAACAGTGGGTACCTCCTGGCAAGAAGGGAATGAGCTCTCGCAGAACCAGACTCGCCTAGGATCCCACAGACTGTTCTAGAGCCCCTGGAGGCCTGGCTGGGCAGCAGCTGAGAGCTTAGTCCTCATTCATTCTCAATGACTCCCAAATGCCCCCTCTACTCAGGGGAACTTGAGCCTAACTCTGTCCCTTACAACCTCTCTGGCTGACACAGAAGCCCTGACAGAGGACCTATATGTGGGACAGGACAAGTGCACATCTACTCTACCACAAGGCAGGGAGACAAGGCCCAGGCAGGTACAGACCAGGGAAGTTCTCTGAGAAACGAAAGGGAGGAATTGTGTTTGTCTAAAGGAATTGGCAGAGAGGTAGTGCTCCGAGGATGAGCAGGATTTAGATAGGTGATAACGAGGAAAGAGGGGTTCTGGATGTGGAAAAGAGCATGAGCAAAGGAAAAGGTGGGGAACAGTCCATAGAGGCTGGAGCAGGTGGGAGAGCAGGGAGAGATGTGGCTAGACATTTATTTGTTTATTCAATAAACATTTGCTTAGGACGTAGTATGTCCTTACACTGTGCTCAGTTCAGGAATACAGAATTTTTTTTAAGGGAAATGCCTGAGTTGGTCTAGAGGACTCCAAAAGGTGTACAGGGAGAGTAGAGGCAATGCGGTGAGACTGCAAAGGCAAGTGGAAATTCTCCAGATGGACAAGAGTTGGGGGTGTGTTTGAGGCAGAAGGAACAGCTTCCAGTCATTCACTTTAGTCAACAAATAGATACCCACCAGATCCCGGGGGCCAGACAGAGCATCCAGGATACAGTGATGAGCAAAGCACACACACCCCTGCGCTCAGAGAAAGCAGTGTGCTCAGGGGACCACACAGACTCTTATCTCCTAGATCTTAAGAGACCATTGCTTGTAAGATACACCACCAGCTTACCAATAGCTGCAATCAGGAATGGACGGAAAAAGAGGGATTTGTTGGTGTATAACAATACTTCTGGCAGGGTATGGAGCAAATGGTCCCCAGGAAAACCTGAACCAGGGCTATGAAAGCCAGATTCCTCTCAGGCACTGCCCCTCTGCTCCCTTTGCACACTGACTTCACCTTCTCAGACAGCCTTCCCAGAGGCCCAAGTCATGGCCACCAGCAGTGCTCAGACTCCTGTCCTCCAAACACCACCCATGGAATAGAAAGAGCCACCTGTTTTAATTCCAATTCTGATTTGTTTAATGTTCATCCTCGGCTGATGTGTGGCCAGGGTCAGGGTACTATTTTAGGGAGTACCACTCAACCCCCTTGGTTTGAACTGGGAGAGGAGAAGTTCTGCCTCAAAAAGGAGGGAAGGGTGCCAAGCAGAAAATAACAGATGTACACCACATGCACTTTTGGGAAAAGAAAGACAGTATCACCTTAAAAGTGCAAATCAGCCCTGGCTGGTGTGGCTCAATGGACTGAGTGTCAGCCTGTGAACCAAAGGGTCACTACTTCAATTCCCAGTCAGGGCACAAGCCTGGGTTGTGGGCCAGGTCCCCCGTAGTGGGTGTGTAAGAGGCAACCACACATTGATGTTTCTCTCCCTCTCTTTCTTCCTCCCTTCCCCTCTCTTTAGAAATAAATAAAATAATTTTTTAAGTACAAATCAATTCTAGGATATATTCCAATTTCAGAAATGTTAAAATAAGGGGGCTAGGGGAGTATGTGCATCTTAGAACAAAGGAAATACAGCAGGGCATGCTGTTGAGGTGTCAGCTGAGAATAGAAGCATGTGGAGGTGAGGCTGGAGAGGGAGGTGGTGGAATCAGGTAGAACAGGCCATGAACATGGAGTTAAAAGGCTCTGTGTCCTGTTGGGCCTAGGAGTTCCCTAAAGGCCTGCAATCAGCTGGCAAAAAAATGTTGAGAAGGGGGAGGCAACAGGTGTCAGTCTGGCTAAGGAGTTCTGCAGGGCTGAAAAAGAGAATGGCTCTTTTCCAGAGTTGGGGGTGCTGTCAGAATCTAAAGAATATGCCAATTTGAGAGCTAAATTGGGAACGGAGGGCCATGCATCATGAAGGGGCTTTGAACAGACTGCAAAAAGGAGGGAAAGGCCTGAAATGGGGATTTAGAACTAGAGGACGGAGCCAGAGAGTTGAAAATCCAAGGGCAAAAAAAAGGAAAACAGGTAATGATGGATTGGTCTGGGGGAAGCTTGTTAGGCAGCAAGCTTATCCTGGAAAAATACTTGAGCCAGGGCCTGTGCTCCTTCTCTAGTTAGGTGTGGGAAAGAGCCAGAGTCAGAATGCATAACAGCACGGTGGCTAAGGGAATTTTATGAGACATTTTTACAAGTAAAATTGACAGGACAGCTCAACTATGTCGATACTTGAAGCTGGAAGCTTGGGTGAAATCTCTGAGAAAGAAAGTGTACTAACAGGTATGAAGGGAACAAAGATAGACGAGTGGTTTTCTTTACAGGCAGCAGCAGAAGAAAATGAAGCTAAGCCAAAGAGACGGAAAAGAAACCAGGGAAGCAAGAGAGAACCTGAAGTCAAATGCGGAGAATGTAGTCAGGGCTGCACAGCCCACAGATGGATCCTGAGTGAAGGCTGCTAGGTTTGACAACGATTTGAGAGAGAAGATACCCTGTGGGGGGTGGGGGAAAGGGCCTCACCGCAGGAGGGGGGCATGGTGACTATTGCAGGGCTCTGTCTTTTTAAATAATTGGAATGCAGAAAGGAAGTTGGGAAGGGATGAGACTGAAAGGGAAGGGAAAGGAGTGGCTTCCATCTTTGGGCTATTGTGACTATCTATGTGGTTTATTCCCTAAGTAGCATAAACCAAATTTGGACAAATTTATATGGAACAGACCCTCTGATGGTCTGTTCCCTAAGTAGAACAAAAACTGTGAGGATAGGAACAATGAATTAAGCGCCTCTAGTATTCTGTTCTATACCCAGGGTCTGAAACAGTGCCTGGCACATAAAGGAATTAAATCAGTATTTGCTTAATGAAGCTGTTAACTGTGAGGGTGGGAGAGACACCTTAGGAAGTGTGGAGGACTACTGGGAACCACCCTGCCTAGTTTTAGAAGCTGTAACTCCCACCAAGGCTAAAGCTGAGGGAGCGACCTTGGACCGTAAGCCACCAAGGAGACAAAAGCTTATCTCCCTGGCTTAAGAGCATAGCTTCTGCTCCTTTCACTTCATCCATAACTGGCCCCCAATGCTTGGCCAGTTAGCCAATGATGGGTAAGATTCCCCAAAGGTGGAATGACCTAACACAGGCACAATCAAGTGGGAGGCTCCCAAGAAAGGACTTTGGGGGCTACAGCAAAAGGGGGCGATGGACGCTCGCCCCTCGGCTTTAACAAACCCTGAGTCCTCATTGTCTGCGAGAAATCTTCTAATCTCTTGGCTGCCTTACTTCCCTTGCTCCACCTAAGCCTGAATCAATGACAGAGGGTGGTGCAGCCCTGTGCTGGAAAGGGCAGGTTCCCCAGGCAATCAGGCCTAAGAAAGAATATGTAAAATCCTGTGAAACCTGCTTTGTTTAGAATGCCCTCAATTAAATGACAAGGGTCCAAACAAGAAGTAAGTTTGTTCCTCAACATTTTATAGGTCTTTAGCTATCTGACCCTGATTCAAAATAGACCCTCAGAGTTCTTTGTTATCCATTGTTTGATCCTTACTGCCTGGCAGTGATTGATGAGCTTTACCTGAATTCTTGTGTAAATGAACCCAATAAAAGCCCATTGAGGAACAGGCTCCTGGCCCTTCTCCTTTGAGAGATTGGCCACCTTTCCTCCCCAAGCAGATCATGTCTTGGTAGACTTATTCTCATCCGTGGCCATGGGGGGGGGTGCCTGCAGGTGGAGCCCCCCCCAGCAGAGGGGAAGTGAGGGAAGTGTGGGAGACCCTCATGGTGGATGCACAGGGGCCGCCCTGCTTCTGCAGCCCACAAGGTCCAACAGTATGTGCCGCCTCCTTGATCTAGGATAAAACTTCCCACCCTCCTGCCCTCCCGTAAGGTAGCCAGCCTGCCCCAGATGTTGACTCTGCCAGTATACCTTCTTCACCCGGTGGGCTGTAATCACATGGCTTTCATCATACTCCCGTTTGGAACGCACATCTGAAAAGGAAAAGAATTTAACTAATAACATATTTGCAAAAGAGCACACGACCAAGCTACTTAGTGAACTCATATGATCAACATCTATTTATTTGGCCAATAAGTGATAGTTACTATCCACTCACAACTTGAGGTGTTGTTCCACTACTCTCAGCTGCACACACCATGACTCCACCACCTCATCACACCTTATCACACGTCCCCTTAAGGGGTAGTGAGACTTTGTATCTTTGACTTAGGGGCAGTTTTCTCTGAGGCCCCCCCAAAAAAACAAGGACAAAAATCAAAGCCAGAGTGAGCTCATACTAAATGCCCCCATGGGGTTTAGACCCAAATTCAGACTCTAGAACCGAGGAACTAAGGTTCAAATGCTCCTGCAAGGGCAGCTGCATTACTGATGCTCTTCAAAGTTGGGAGAACATGGAATGGAAATTGGATGTTATGCATAAACCCTACATATGACTGTTATCCAAAATATACAGAGTTCCTAAAATTCAACAATAAGAAAACAAACAACCCAATTAAAAATGGGCAAAAGGTAGGAACAAACACCTTACAAAGAAGCTACACAGATGGCAAATAAGTATATGAAAAGATGTTCAACATCATATGTAGAAGTGAATGGAAAATTAAAATAATGAGATACCTCTACACACCTAATAGAATATCAAATTGAAAATACAGACACCACCAAATCCTGGTGAGGATGAGGAGTAACAGGGACTCTAATTCATTGCTGGTGAGATTGCAAAGTGGTACAGCCATTTTGGAAGACAGTTTGGCAGTTTCTAACAAAACTAAACATTCTTTTATCAGTAATCATGTTCTTTGTTTGTTACCCCAATGAGCTGAAAACTTGTCACCACACAAAAGCCTACACATAGATGTGTATATCAGTTTTATGCATAATTGCCAAAACTTGGATGCAAGTCCTTAAGTAGGCAAATAGATAAATAAACTGTGGTCCAACCAGACAATGGAATATTAGACAATGCTAAAAAGGGAAGAGCTACTAAGCCATGAAAATGCAGCAGAAAGTTAAATACATATATAAATGAAGGAAGGCAATCTGAAAAGACTACATACTATATGATTCCAATAATACAACATTCCAGAAAAGGCAAAACTATGGAGACAGTAAAAATATCACTGGTTTCCTGGGGTTAGTGGGGAGAGAGGATTGTAAGAGCAGTGAAACTATTCTGTAAAATGCTATAATGATGGATACATGCCATTATACATTTGTCTAAACCCACAGAATGTATGACACTGAGAGTGAGCCCTAATGTAAAGTATGGACTTTGAGTGACAATGATGGGTCAAAGTAGCTTCATCAACTCCAACATATACCAGTATACCATGATAGTGCTGAATGCAGACAGCTGGGGAGGCCGTGCTTGTGTGGGGGCAGGGAGTATATAGGAACTCCCTGTGTGTTCTGCTCAATTTTGCTGTGAACCTAAAACCTAAAAAACAAAGTCTACTTTTAAAAAGACATTAGAAAGCACTAACCACAAAAGAAAATATTGATAAATCTAATCCTTGAAATTAAGGACTTCTATCTCCTTTCATCAAAATACAACATTAAGAAGGTAAAAGGGCAAGCCACAGAGTAAGAGAAAATATCTCTACCACAAATCACTAGCAGAAGACCTATGTCCAGAACTTATAAAGAATTCATAAATCAATTGGAGAAGAAAAAACTTCATATATCTGAAGATATCTTTATTCTAAGAAATCTTGAGAAACAGCTCAAGGCCACTCTAGGTCACTCTAGGTAATGACCCCAGCCCCGCTTAAAGTGCCTGCCTAAGAAAATTCAAGGCTGCCACAAGAGCTTACTGTTGGTTCCAGACAACACCTAAAGATAGGGCCCTTGTGCCCCAGCCTCTGGGGAAAGATAGCAAGGTCATTTGTCAGAGGCAGAGGCAAAGGTCTTGCGTTCAAGGAGAGAGGAGTGAAACTGTGGCATCTATCAGATGTGGAAGGAAATGGATAAAAGAAATGGTACTTAGCTGTGATGAGGCAACGTGAATTAAGTAACACCAGACCCATCTACATGATACATTCTCTTATGATGAATGATGTTTTATACCAGAAATGGAAAAGTGAGTGAGGATGGCAAAAAGTCAGGTGGAAGTCACTAAATGCATGTGGAAGAGAGGGAGAGCTGATAGAAAAAGAATGGGGTGTGAAAAAAAAATCTCTAAATTGGAAACCTTGTAAGTGGCAACTCACTGAATGGAGATGGAGCCCAGGATACGGCTCTGCTGGGGGACTCCTGCCCATGTGCAGTGCAGTTCAAGAGCACTCAGGGGCTGTCAACATAGGTTGTTAGGGAAGGTGAAAGACAGTGATAGGGGCTTAAGACTTGGGAAAATTTAGCTTAAGGTAAATAGTCATAAATCTAGCAAGTAATGTGTATGTTAAGTTTTTGTTTCAGTAACTACAGATAAGGCCTACCTTGGCGCCTAAGAGTAAGCAGATGACCTCTTGGAGAGGTCTGTACCAGGAAGAAGCAAGCAACTACCCTTCCCCCTTGGAGGCAACTGTTGAATTTCAAAGGCTTTCACTGACACCTTGTTTGCTCTCCCCCAACCCCCTTATAAAAGATCTGGCTGGGAAAGAGAGAGGGAGATGGTTTGTTAGGGTATGAACCCACCATCTTCTCAGATCGCCGGCCATCTGAATAAAGCGCCTATAAAAGATTCAATCACTGTCATTGCTTATTGGATTTGGTAGTGACAGGCAGCCCGAACACCGGTGTCTTTTCCGGTTACAAGAGGTCTTAGGGAGAAGCAGCTGGGAACTTTGATCTATTTTTCCCCCTCACCTCATATGTGCTTCCATTCAGGAAAAGATCCTGAGACCTCACTGTAGCAGATTTTCTTAAACCTTGTTTCCCCTCAATCCTAATCAACTTTAATTTATATAGTTGTGATTTTGTCTAATTATAAATTTATTTTTAATAAAGTTGTAAAGTTGAACATATTAAAGAAATGAGTGCAACAATGCACATACATTGTAAGTTAACTTTATGCATTAATATACAGAATCCAGCAGAAGTAATGCCTGCTTCAGTGTGGTTGGTAGGATAATAATATGTGTATAATAATTTATATTTTAATTTGAACATTTCACCTAAAATGTCATATGGTGTGCTCAAGTATATTACTGTTATGTTGCAGAATTACATACTTATGATTTGTAATAAAAGATTTTGTAATAAAAAGGGGCATTATTTGTGCCAGACCCTGTAGACGCAAAAATCTGAAGTGAATAGTAAGCCAAATATAACAGAAGCCAAACCTGCACAAAAAAATAATCTATCATTTTATTATGATAAATTAATTCCTAGTAGGAACTATGTAATTCTTGAAATCACATTAAGATATTAAAGGAGAAAATCTGTACTTTTCCTTCCATAGGTGTGTTGGGAACCGCCCTGACTGGTATCAGGAGCTGAAACCCCTGCCTAGGCTAAGGCTAAGGGAACGCCCTTGGAACCATAAGCCAGCAAGGAGACAAAAGCTTATCTCCCTGGCAGGAATGCTGCTTCTGCTGCTTTATTCATAACTGAACCCCAAAAACCTCAGTCGGTTAGCCAAAGATGGGTAAGATTCCCCAAGGGGGGGAACGACCTAAGACAGGCATGATCACTTGGGAAGCCCCCCAAAAGGACTTTGGGGGCTGCAGCAAAAGGGGGTGATGGACCTTCACCCCTCGGCTTTGACATAGCCTGAGTTCTCATGTCTGGGAGAAAATCTCCTTATCTCTTGGTTGCCTTTGTTCCCTTGCTCCACCTAAGCCTGAAACAATGACAGGGTGGTGCAGCTCTGCGCTGAAAAGGGCAGGTTCCCTGGTGATCAGGCCTAAGAAAGAATATGTAAATTACTGTGAAGCCTGCTTTGTTTAGAATGCTCTCAGTTGAATGAAAAGGGTCCTAGGAGGAAGTTAGTTATGTTCCTCAAAGTCTTACAACTCTTTGGCCCCGACTCAAAATAGACCCTCAGACTTCCTTGTTTTCTATGGTTCCTTACTTCCCCCTAATGAGTACTGTACTTTACCTGAATTATTATGCAAAATGAGCCCAATAAAAGCAGGTATGGGCGGTAAATCGGGCGCACTCCTCACTAGAGGGGGTGGCCATCTCATCCCTACTCCTCCACAGAAACTAGTTTGTCTCTGTGCATGTTTTTTCTCGCGTGTTTTCATCAAGCCATCCGCAGCGTTCCGTGATCACTGCTGGCCAGTGACCCACGCATCATAGGTGCAGAAAATTTTCAACTCATACCATGAAAAATATTCTTAGTAAGCAAGGGGTATAAGGCAATTTCTGATGTGTGTGTCACTAAATATCTAGAGAAGACATCACACTGATCTGTAAAGTCAGAAACAAGACAAAATGCTCACCATCACTGTTCTTTAACACTATACTAGAGGGCAAAGGGCATAGCAATGTAGTGAGATAAGAAAAAAAGAAGTAAGGTGTATAAGAATTGAAAAGGAAGAAATCCTGTATTTTGCCATGTGCAGTGTGCACCCGTGTTTTTGTGTGCATTATTCATGGAATTATTATACCCCTTATTATACCCATGGCAGGTAATCATTATACTCATGTATAATGTGCATCCTTATTTTCCCTCAAAAATTTGGGCAAAAAAGTGTGCATTATACATGACAAAATACAGTAAAACTGTCTTATAAACAGACAATATTATGGTCTATAAAGAAAATTGAAGAGATTCACAAACAATTAGAATTAGTAGATTAGCACACCAAAGTTGCTAGATATAACATCAACATCAAAAAATCAATAATGGTCTGTAAAACTGGAGAAAAAAAAGATGTTTCAAAAGAGATAAAGCCTGAAATAATGCTTCTGTAACCCAAGTGTCTACCAGAACTCTCAATTCAGCAACAGACAAAAGAGATGTATGTGCATAGAGGCAATAATTTAGAAAACCCTGTAAAAGCCAAGAAAAGCTTCAGGAAGAGAA